GCCATTCTTTAATCAGTTTGTCCAAAATGATGTTTAAGTCCACTAAATGAGAAGAAACATCAAACAAGAAATGATTTTTGGCATGAAAGAGAGCCTATGCCTTGACGATGAACCTCTATAGAAATTAAGCCATTGAGCATAGGCTTCTTTCTCATGCTTTGAATAACCGTCGATCGGTTGAAGTGACTCTCAAAACAAAACAAAAAAGAAAAAATGGAGGTGGCAGAAATGACTTATGCAAGATTGATTTTTTAGAATGAGACTCTTAATATGAAAATGAACCAAAGAAAAATTATCAAAGCATAGGTGACACAATACAACTATCTAGATATGAAGACTTGCAACATAACAAGCTAGATGTTCAAAGCATACCCCAATTAAATAAACTAGGATAGCCCTAAAATAGCCCCTAATATGCTAAAAATAGTGGCTAAAAAAAATCATGTTAAAGAGCATAAAAAGGTAGGAAAGAACAAGGCAAAGAAAGGTTAGTGAACAAAAGCAAAGAGAGGTAGCTAGCCTCTCTATTTTTGAGACCTCAAACCATGTTTTTTTCAGTCTTATTTAAACTCTAAAAATCAGTTTAAAAGGCAAAGAAAAGAGCGAAAAACAAGGGCGTGAACTACGAAGTAGAGAGCAAGAAAGGGTGTCAATCCTCTCTACCCTTTGGTAGCTCTTCAAACCCAAGTTCTAACACTTAAAATAGGATCAAAACAATACAAAAACACTAAAAAGAGATAGAGAAAGATAGAAATGAAAGCAAGGGAAAGGTGGTAAGCTTATACTTCTTGAAAAAAGTAAGCTCTTGTTTGTGAACCAAACTTGGTCCAAACACACTTTCAAGCTTGAATTGTGACTCACAAAACTCAACCATGGTTCTAAGGTATGGTTCCAAGGTTGTGTACGGTATATAGATATAGTATAAGGATGATCAAATATCTCAAAGTTAGCTTGCACAAGAAGAAGGAACTCTCAAGGGTTGTTTTGCTGCTTTGAAATTTTTTCAACCTCTAGCACTGAGATATGTGCTCGTATTTATAGAATTTGAGCAAAATAGGTCATAAATATCTTTAAAAATGGATAGTTGGCCCATTCCCGCCTAGAACAGTGTTTCTCGCTATTGAGAGCCAGCCAGCTTCTAATAGCTACTGCCGACTCCCAATGTGGTACGACCGGCTCCCAATGCTCTCCCTTGTTCCACTGTTTTAAACTCAGTGTAGGGTAGCACAACGGTCAAAAATGAATTTCTAGGGTAAGCATAGTATGAATATGAAGGGTTTGGAATTGGTTTTGGAGCTCGAGCTTATATTCCTTCGTTAAAAATTCAAATCACAATCACCGCAACTTCATTATCGAGTGCCCAGGACAAAATGCCCAAGTCTTGCGAACGGTCAAAAATGGGGTGTCTACAAAGAGGAGTATCCTTTTTGAATTATAATCCACCAATTCACACCCTCAAGAGCTAAGATGCAAGCTTAAACACCTCAGTAAAGAACCCTCCAAGTTTGGTTTAGAGAGTTTAGGTTAAGAGTATGTAAGTTGCAAGAGAGAGAGAGAGAGAAATGTAGAGAGAGAAATATTTTTCAAACTTTTGCTCCACAAAATTTTTCTAACCCTATATAATAAAAAAGGGTCATCTATATATAGAAATATATGAAAGACTCTCGAAAACATCCAAACAAATACAACTAGTATGGTGTATGCATCTGTGGAGACAGCTGGCCAAAAAATTTGGTTTTGCATAAGTGGCCGGCAGGCCACTAATAGGGGCCAGTCGTACACTATTAGTGGCCGGCCGGTCACTAATGGGCCTACAGGTCTCAGATTGTCAGGCTTGAAAAGCTACTGTTTTGGTCTAAAAAAAATTGGTGCAAAGTTGGCATGTTTCTGAGACTCAAAGTTGAGGCTTCCTACTGAGGAATTCGAGCATTTGACAAGCATATACAAATTCATCATTGAGTGATCACTAGGTGGCACCCAAGTCGTAAGGGCGGTCAAAAATTGGGTGTCTATAAGTAGCCACTAAAGCAATAATTTTATGCTTTATGCCTTGTTTTACGAAAGGCCTCATACTCTCTTAACAAGTCATAATTTTTATTTATTTTTCCTTCATAAGGCCTACTTTGAAAAGCCTCCACACAATATGTTTTAAAAAAAATAAAAAAATAAAAAATAAAAATAAAAATTGACTCGTTCCACCACACCCGATTGATGCAAGTTTTTCCAAATAACACATAAAAGCATTCATATATATCTAATTTTTTACTTTTATATCTTTCATTTAAAATCTTTTGAATTCTTATTACTTATCAATATTTATTTTCTTATATGTTATATTATCCTTTTTTTCATTAATATCATCCACTCTTAAAGGTAATAAGTTACCCTGAAACTTCACGGCCAGGAGACTATAAACTTGGCTTTACCCCAATACAGGCTTTACAAATTTGAAAAAAGTCAATCCTAATTTGGTATAGGTTTGTCACAAGTATCAAAACTTTATTTATTTATTTATTTATTTATTTTTATAAGAAACACATTGGAAAAAGACTTCACAAATTTTGAATTTGTCCCTTTTACAAAGGTCCAGCTTAAAATAGGTCTCCACTAATCTGAGGTAGGTTCTATAAATTTAGTTGTCACCCTTTTATTGGATAAATTATCATTTATTTTCATATCATAAGCTAAAATTACCCTCTAAAATTTAAGTTATGGAAATTGAAGGGAAAATGAAATTAACCTAACATATTACAATATAAATAGTGGAATGCAGCAAATCTTATCCCCTTCTATTTTAGAGTCTGGATCTTCTGCCATGATCCCCTATAGTGCTCTATACCGTGGTTGCCAAAATGATATCGTTAGTTAAATATTTTTTTTCTTCCCTTTTCTCTGTCCCTCTCTTTTGTTTCTCTCTCATTTTGCTTGAATCTTAACCCGTTGAGAGAGGCAAAGGCGAAAAAATGGTTTTATGGTGAGTTGAATGTGAAATTAAAGTAGGTCTCAACCATTGGTTGAGGTGGGATTAAATGGGTTTAGATTCTTTGTAACAAAATCTTTACCCTACAAAAAAAATGACAAAAAATTATTAAGAATTGAATGAGAAATTGTCTCATAAAGTTGGTCTCATGAATGAGGTATTGGGAATTGTGTATAACTACCATTCCCACATTGATTGTAGAGGAAAGCTTTGATGGATATTTAAACCTCAAGATTTTGATAAGGGCATGAGACCTTTGGGGTATCCAAATTTTCCGAAGGAATGAAGTTATGGATGCTTCAAGGATGGGCTTGGGCCAAAACTATGATCCAAGTTAGTTATGGCAAAATTGCCACACGTGCGCGCAAGCGCTCTTTTCGCTCGGACCGGACTGGACCGGGTCCCGGTCTGTGGTCTGTGATTCGTGGATCTTGGGGCTTAAAGCTTGTTAGAACAGGTTAGGTTTGGGCTGGGTCGGATTGGTGGTCCACCAACCTAATCTTTTTGGGCCAAGTCTGCTATAGATATACACACGTGTATATGGAGTATATAACTCATGTACTAATTGACACATCAGTTTTGGTGCATTACTCCAATCATTTTGCAAGAGTAATGGCTGCATTTGGTACCAGCCCTGATGGCTGGAGGCTCATCCTCTCTCCCCCATTGTGTATAAAATGAGGCCCATCTTCCTGAGTTTGTAACATAATTTTTGCTCTCATATTATAGTTAAGTCAGTCTCCTCCTATAATATATTCTTCATGTGTGAGAAAGTGATACCATTATTGGTTCACCAAAGCTAACAAAAGGTGTTTCTGCATTAGTTGGTCTAAACCGTCGTATCCTAGGAGACAAAAGTCGACCTACCTCCAGCACCCACGGTGAGGCAGCTAATCTGCTTTAAGGAGACTATGGTATCACACAGGTTTCGGTTTGCGCTTTTTTTCCTAATTATGTTTTATGTATTTCTGTTCATTACGTTGTATGGTATAATCTCATGATTTCTTTTCCTGTAAATCAATTTCAGTTCATATGAATCTATTTGTCTATTTTATTTAATTACACAAATTGGACAACAAGAGCTCCTTCTTCACCTCTTCAAATGGTTCAAACAATACACTAGTGAGAGGCCGATTGTTCAAGCCCTTGGAAGCGCAATCCAAAAACTCATTTCTAATCTTCACTTTTAAAGAAACCCCAAAACAAAGGATGCAAAATTTCGCGAAGAAGACGAAGCAGAGGACCCAAATGGATGTACTCAGGTTGTCCCCATGAGGGTTCAAGAGAGAGAAAGCCGAAAGCAATTCTAAAAAGCATGGTATTTGTAGAGAGAGAAACAGAGAGGCTTGTAGAGAGATAAAATGAAGAGGAGGAACATAAAAAGATTAAAGGGTTTAGGAGTGTTTATGTGGTGCAGTGAGCAGAGTATAAGATATATGAGTTTGGATCATCTGTCGTCGTCGTCTCTTGGTATCGCTGTCGCCTCCTCGCCTCGCCTTGCTTCGCTGCCATCTCCGTGCCCTCGCTTCGTCAGTCAATGATAATGGAGAAACGGAAAAAAAAAAAAAACAAAAAACAAAAACTTCAAAACAACGTCATTTTGGACCATGACAGGAAACGTTGTATGAAGGCACAAGAGAAGATCAAGGCACAAGAGAAGATCTGGACTCCTTATTTTAAGCCTCAATCGAACAAGTTTAGGAAATTTTGGAGACAAATGACATGAATAATTAAAGTGAGTAGATTAGCAATTGTTTGAAATTTGTTTATTTAACGTATTTATGATTTTTTAAAAAAATATATAAAAAAATTAAAAATGATATAATTCAAATAAACATATTTTATGATCACTTCCAAACAATTCCTTCATATAAAAATAGAAAAGAAATAAATAAATAAATAAAATAAAATAAAAAGAGAAAGAAAAAAAAGAAAGAAGATAAACGTTGAAGGTTGTTTTACATTTTTGGGGAGATGGAAAAAGGTGGTAAACAGAGGGGGGTTATTCTGTGTCTTATTCCACCTTTTGGAAGGAAAAGACGGAGAGATAGAGAGAGAGAGAGAGAGAGAGAATTAGATAATTTGAGAGAGAAGGGAATTGTAGAAACAAGGGGTTAGGAGAGAGAAAAGTCTCTGCAAAAGAGCTTTGACTCTCTCTCTCTCATTCATCCATGGCGTATTCACACCTTGAATTTACCTTTTTGCAGCCTTGCCCCAGCAACCCTTTCATTTTTTCCATTAATTTAAGCTCTTGACCTTCAAACCAATCGGGGTCTTCTTCAGATTTTCGCTTATCACCCCAAAGAAGGAATACAGCAAAAAAAATTCACAGGTATTGTTTGACATTCATAAATTGGCTTCACTGCTCTTCTGGGTTTTCTTTATTTTCTTGAAAAAAATAAAATAAAATTTGTTCTCTTTTGCAAGCATTTTTTTTCTTTTTCTTTTTCTTTTGAAAAATATTCAAAATCATCCAAAGTTTTTGGAGATTTCTTTAACAGACACTTTATCTTTATCTAATCCTTTATGGAAAGAAAGTCATATCTGTAACTCCCTATTGCAAATTCATTTCCTTATTTTTAGCCCTTATATATATATATATATATATTATTCTCTTTTCCTTTATTCAAATCCCATAGAATTTAAAATTTGTTGCATGACCTGACATATATTTTCTTAAATTTTAGCTTAATTCCATTGTCCTTTCGCTTGTGATTGATTGGGTTGTCCTTCAAAATCTCAGAAACTCATGTAAATTTGTAGATTCGATCCTTTGAGCCATGGGTAATTGCTGTGTGACCCCTTCTGGTTCTTCACCCAAGAATAAGAAGGCAAAGAAGAAGAACAAACAAAACCTATTTTCCATTGATTATGGTACAGCAAATGGATCTGGAGTTGGAAACAAAATCACTGTGTTGAAAGATCCAACAGGCTGCGACATTTCGCTTCGATACGATCTGGGTCGCGAGCTCGGGCGAGGTGAATTTGGGATCACATATCTAGCCACTGATGTGGAAACAGGTGACAAATTCGCTTGCAAATCCATATCCAAGAGTAAGCTGAGGACTGCTGTGGACATGGAGGATGTGAGGAGAGAGGTTGAGATCATGAAGCACTTGCCTAGGCATCCCAACATTGTGAGTTTGAAGGATAGTTATGAGGATGACGATGCGGTCCACATAGTGATGGAGTTGTGTGAGGGAGGAGAATTGTTTGATCGAATTGTTGCCAGGGGACAATACACAGAGAGGGCGGCTGCAGCTGTCATGCGGACAATTGTGGAAGTTGTTCAGGTTGATTTTCGATGAATTTTCATGTTTCTTGATTGATATGGTCTTGGTCTTGAATTTGATGCCTATTGTCTTCCAATGAATCCGAATTTCATTTCCTGAATTGGGTTTTGTTTTGCTTTTCATGACAGTTAGTGTGTATACTGTATTGCATTGTTTTGGTTTTCTTTTGTTTGAACCTTGCTATTATTTGATTTTTGATCAATTTTCATATTTCTCAATTAATATGATCTGTAATTTGATGTCTATTGTGTTTCAATGAATCCAAATTTCATGTCCTGAATTGGGTTTTGTTTTGCTTGTCATGATAGTTGGTGTATTGTGTTGTGGTTTTCTTTTGGTTAAACCTTGCTATTATTTTGAACAATGATGTGTTTGTGGGGTTTTCTGTTCATGGAAGTGATATTTGAATTCCAGTAAAGTTTGTTTCCCATTCATGTGTCAAAATCTTACCTTTTCTATGAAGTTCATTGTGAATATTCCTTTTGTATGTAGTTAATTATAAACCTAAATTTAGTGTGCATCTACATGCATACACCTTCATTTGCTGATAAGTACTTGATGGATGATTTTATTCTTATGGGTATATTTACTATGTCTCAAGCTTCCTTTTAAAAAGTGGGGATAAAAATGTTCCCACTAAGTTCATGTCCTATGTTTTTTTATTCTTTTTCACTTTTCTTTTGTTCCCCTGGAAGGATATATGGAACTGTTCTATTGGCTGTCAGGGTATTTTCTGTTACTTATTCCATCTGTCGAATTTCAACATAGATTTATTTAGTTTTTCTCTGCAATTAATGGGATTTTATTTTTGAACCTTTTATTTACTTTATCTTCATGTCTTTCCGACCTTTCGTTTTTCCTTATTGTGCAAATTTGTTCTCTTTTTCTCTTTGTGTGCATGTTTCTGGGTTCTGTTGGATCAAATCACTCACTGTTTAATAATATGATTTTCATCTACTGGGCGGTAGATTCCCTTTTAGTTGAGCCTTTTCTTTTCAATAAATCGTAGCCTTTCGTGTTCTGGTTGTGTTGCAGGCATGTCACAGGAATGGAGTGATACATCGTGATCTGAAGCCAGAGAACTTTCTTTTCGGAAACAAGAAGGAAACAGCCCCCTTGAAGGCGATCGATTTTGGACTCTCAATTTTTTTCAAACCTGGTATTGTGTTCTATTGACATTATTGCAATTGAGTGAAGTGTTTGATGCCCCTTTTGCTGCCAATTTGTTTTTGGAACATCAGCAGTAGTTGATGTTGTCATCATTTTGACTCAATGTATTTCCATCCCTATATCTGATTGTTGACATTTGGCTCAGGTGAGCACTTTACTGAGATAGTGGGAAGTCCTTATTACATGGCTCCCGAGGTTCTAAAACGCAATTATGGTCCAGAGGTGGATGTCTGGAGTGCTGGAGTTATCCTCTACATTCTACTTTGTGGTGTTCCACCTTTCTGGGCAGGTCTGTTTCTCTATTTGTGACAGTTGCAATTTTCTCTCTCTGTTATGTTGAGGGCTAGAGTTCAGGGCTATATGTGTAGTATTTTGTTAGGGTGCACAATTTATGAAACTTGAAGTGAAAATTATAGATATTTCATAGAAAATATTTTTGTAAAATACTATTAGTAAATACAAAATATGAAATGTGGAAGAACTTTTATCAAATAAAAAATTGTTACTAATGTCAAGTTTTGTTGAATGAGATCTCCCCCCTCCCGCGCATCTCATCCACACAAGCAGTTTATCAGCCTTGTTTGGTGCAACTTATTGGAGCTGCTAACCAGCTTTTTATTTTGAGAATGTGTGCAATAGTGTTTGGTTCAGCTGCCACTTATAGTTTATGCGACAGAAATAACTTACATAAGCTGAAAAAATACTTCTTATTTGTTTTAGTTTCTGATTCCTGAGTATCAACTTTCAGCTTGAGAAAAGCTGCACCAAACACGTCCATCATATTCTATTTTTGGTTCGGCTTTTTGTGAAGTTTGCATTGTTATTCTTGCAGAAACTGAACAAGGAGTAGCACAAGCAATTATTCGCTCTGTAATTGATTTTAAGAGAGACCCTTGGCCTAAAGTTTCTGATAATGCAAAGGATCTTGTGAAGAGAATGCTCAATCCAGACATGAAGAAGAGGCTTACAGCTCAGGAAGTTCTTGGTAAAGCTTACTGACATTAAGTCGGTGCTTTATACTTGTTGAGTTTATTGTTTAATAGAAATGAATAGACTAGACCAGAACTAATTTTTTCTTTCTTTTCTCTCTTTCCTCACTGGGATGCAGAACATCCCTGGTTACAAAATGCAAAGAAGGCTCCAAATGTTCCACTTGGTGAGACTGTGAAAGCAAGGCTTAAACAATTTTCTGTAATGAACAAGCTCAAAAAAAGAGCTCTGAGGGTAATAATTCTAGTTGGTTCATAGTTTTGTTGCTTTTCTTCATGTGTATCAGGAATATTTTTTTGGGCAAATTGCATGTTATCAGTGGCACAGTTTAAAAATAATTGCACTACACATGATAATCTTTTCAGTGCAACTTGGACACGCAAGAAAGATTTGCACGAACATAGAAAAGGACTAGCACCTCATGGAAATGAATTTTTTTTTTCCCCATTGTGCCATTGATTTTATATTTTTTTTCCCATTTTCTTTTTTACATAAAAATGTTGAGTGTTGATCATGCAGGAGTGTGGATTTGGAGTGCTCTATGGTACCACATTTTCTGATTATTGTAACTCTCAAATGCACGTATGCAGGTGATTGCAGAGCATTTGTCATTGGAGGAAGTGGCTGGTATAAAGGAAGCATTTGATGCAATGGACACCGACAAGAGAGGCAAGATAAACCTTGAGGAGCTTAGATTTGGGCTGCAAAAGCTTGGCCAGCAGATCCCTGATGCAGATCTTCAAATCCTAATGGAAGCTGTATGTATTTTACCATTTCTATCCAATATTCTTCATTTTTGTTTCATCATTGCCTTCCTTGCTTTCTGGAAAATTTGTTTTGTGACTGCAAACTATCAAGTCCAATTAGCTTTTGAGCCCTTGCAGTAAATTATTTATTAAATTAAATTTCAAATGTTAAATTTTACTGAACTAGTTGGAAAGTTGGTACTTTTTCTCAAGCTTCCATCTATCTTAATATGCCCAAATTATGACTGGCTGAAAAAACTGCAAAATGCCAAGGTTGTCGTTACCCACGTTTGCGTACATTTAAAATGAAAATTTTGAGTTTTCACTGTTATGTTTTGTGTTAATTGTGTACGTTCACATTCACATGAAAACACAACTGTTTAGGGATGAAATTATGTCATGGTGTGTATTTCTGCAGGGTTTTGTTACTTGTCAAGAGCCCTCGACTTTCTGCTTTTAACCCTCCTCTCTGAAAACACTTAGTGTTTGGTTCAGTGAAATGAAATAGAATGGAATGGTCATTTCTTAGCTTTTTCCTTACAATGGTGAATGATGATTCCATTTGTAATACATTTTTCATCATTTTTTTAGTGAACCAAACATGAGAATGGACATTATATTGGAATATGATCATCCCATTCCACTTCATTCTAGTGAACCAAACAGAGCATTTAAACTTCAATTATACTATGTTAGCACTTTGTTAGTTCATGTTATAGGAACTTGGATTAAGCTTTGTTTGTGAAGTGATTGAATTTGTATTTCTTGAGAATCTGAGACCTGATTACTACAGGCTGATGTTGATGGAGATGGAACTCTGAACTATGGAGAGTTTGTTGCCGTTTTTATTCATCTTAAGAAGATAGCTAATGATGAGCACCTACATAAAGCTTTTGCTTTCTTTGATCGAAACAAGAGTGGCTATATAGAAATTGAAGAGCTGCGGGATGCCTTAAGTGATGAAGACGACACCAACAGTGAAGAAGTCATCAATGCCATTATGCATGATGTTGATACAGATAAGGTCAGTGTCACAATGAATATTCCCTGAAGTAGTTGGTGCTTGTTCCTGCATTGCCATGTTCTTGTCCTCAGATTTCATCCCTTAATATGGGTTTTATCTTTTGGCTAATCATAAATCCTCTATTTTTTTGTTTCTTTATAAACTTTGAATTAACTTATAGCACATTGCCCTCTCTTGGTATTTTTCTTCTAAGTTTTTTTCTTTCCCCTGCGCTCAAGCCTTCATAGTGAGTGAACTTGTGATGCAAGGAAGCGTACGGAGTGAAAAAAATGACTAAAGAAAACAGGAACAATATAGAAACGAGAACAACTTCTCTGAACTTTGTTGCTCAAAACAACTTATTAGCCTCAAAGGCTTACAATCCAATTTATAGTGTTGCTTGGTGACGAAGCCCCAAATCACGCTCCAAATAAAGCCACAATTAAATAAAATCAAAATGTTATAGTAAATAAGAAACTTTCTAGAAGTCCTGGTTAAATTTAAAATTTAAATTCATACTACAAATATTATTTTCAAAATCCTCCCTAGCTTGAAAAAAACTCTTCATTGAGTTTCCATTGCTTGAAATATTTTCACACATATACTTTTGTCTGCATCTGCCTTATATTTAAAATTAATTCCTCCTTCAAAGGAGATATATTTCTATAGGCACCATCTACTAGAATCTTAAATTCCAAATATCTCAGTGAGAGTGTAGAATTCTGCATCCTGTTCATTATTTCCTTCTAAACATGATGATTCCAATATTGGTGAAGAACAAAACAAGTCTATGTTGCAACTTGTCCCATTTAAGTTATTTTGTGTAAGGCCAAAATTAGAAAACCAATGTAACCATTGTTAACTAGAATTCTATAATATGGATTCAAGGCATGATATGTCTTCCAATTTTCTACATTGCTTGGATCAAGTGTTCGGCATCACTGACCTTATCGCTATTAATTTCAATATCTGACTCTTCATCTATTCCTACTAAATCTTCATCAATTGATGTGTCTTCATCAAAGATTGGTGGCTTTCTCCAAGCCACATGTTAGATATGTAGTAGTTGATGCGAATGGCCAATCTAGGAACTTTTTGGTGTCGAACCTCTCTGGAACTCAAGAAAATCGATCTTCAAACCAGACTCCTAGAGTCAGGAATCATGTTTATTAGCCATGACTCCCTTACTCCTTTCCCTCAGCTGATGGTCATCAACAGAAGGGTGGGTGGCGGAATTGTCATTCGAAACTTCCTCCACAAGATGTCGGATCAAATGGTGATTTCGAGGGAGGTTTCCAAAATCCAAAGTATTGAACCTTTGTACCAGTGATGCGACTGCTTCCTCGATTTGCAAAAACTTATCCTCTGTTTGAGCATCCTGTGCAACGTCATCTATCTTACGCATCTCTTCAACAGTAGCATATTGGCTACATGGTGATCCTCATGGTGCCATGATTAGGATTTGAGCGCAAACTCTGATATGAACTGATATAAGGAAGTGTATGCAATGAATGAAAAAAACAAGAAAAACAGTAACAATATAGAAAAGAGAACAACTTCTCTGAAATTTTGTTACTCAAAGGGAAGTGTATGAAATGAATGCAAAAGACAAGAAAAACAAGAACAATAGAGAGAAGAGAACACCTTCTTTGAAATTTTATTGCTCGAAACAACTGTTTGGCCTCAAAGGCTTACAATCCAATTTATAGTAGGGTAAATCACGCTGACACTCCCTTGATTCCTTTGAAATAACACTATCACCCTCTTTATTATCTGAAATATCACTTGCCTCCCTTGCTTTAAGATTTTGTGTAACAAATAGGTCTATCTGTGAGTCAACCGTTAGTTGACCTAATAGAATTTTTTGATATTAGCAAAAAAAAATCTCTCTTAATACCTAATTTACCCTTCTCTTCTCTCTTTCTACCATTGCAAAACTCTTCAACCACAGTCATCATTAACCTGCTAACCTGCCACCACACCACGACCAACCAAACCCTTATCACACACAACCACCATTAGAAACCTTTGCATCCCACTATCATAACCCTTATCCCCAACTCATCATTCCAAAGATCAATTGATCCAACCAAATATATATATATATATATGTTACAAACAATGCAAAAAAGATCCAATCAATATATATATTAAACAGTACATTAATTGATCCAAGAAACTATGTATATGCACATATCTTTGTGGTCTTCACACAGTTTCCTTAGGATAGTGGAAGGTCGCGTGAGATTCGAAAGTATAGCTAGCAAGAGTAGAGTTGGAGACACATCCCCTTCTCTTAGATCCCCACATCAGCCCCTTTCTCATATCCGCCATGACAGCCCCTTCTTTCGGATCTCCCACCATCAATGACCACTTGTCCTCTTTCTACACCCACAGAAGTTCCAATTGAAAAGCACCATCGTATCAATGACCTATGATGACCACCGCGTAACCAATGACAACATCTCTATTATCCTTTATAGGCGGTATGTATTAGGGAGAAGCAGCGGTGATTATGATCTACACGACCCACCTCCTATCCTCACTACGGGCAGCGATTTCAACCAAAAATTTTGAATGACCTCCACATCAATCTCTTTCACCATGAAAACCTCTTTTCTATTCGGCATTTTGATTGCGCTATTTTCCCCATCGATTATTGTCCCTTCCTCGTGATTATCGTTCCTCCATTGTTGATTGGTGAGGAATTGGATTGAAGGGGTTATTTACTGTGCGATTGGTGAAGTGTAGGCTAAGATGTGATGATATAGAATGGTGTGGCTAATGGTGAGTATGAGTAAGGATAAAACGAAGAGGTGGGACGTTGTGATATGTTAGGAGAGGGATGTAATGACATATACCAACTGCTATGGATGGTGTGGTTCGATTGGGTGGGTAACAACGAAGCTATGGTAATGGTGATTATAGAGAAAACAGGGGTAGAAATCTTGCCCAAAAAAAAAAAAAAAAAGAAAAGGAAAGAGAAGGGAAAAACATTAGATAGAAAAAGGGGCAAGGATATTATACACCATGTTTGGTTCCACTTTTTTGAGTTAATTTTCAGAATTTGTTTTTGAAAACTGTTTTTGGAAAAGTGACTATTGTTTGGTTGTTGGAGTTAAATTCAAAATTCAAGTTAAATTTTGTAAGTTAAACTCAAAAGTCCCTCTAGAAAACATCTAATCACTTGACATAAATAAGACAATTTCTTTTTCCCAAATGGTTTGGAAAATTGGATTTTTGGAATTGTTTTTTGGATTTTTGGACATAATCAAACAAAAACTCTAAATTTTTCTAAAAATTGAGTTCAAAAGGTGGAATCAAACATGGCCATAGTAATTTTAATATATTATTAGATGGTGTTAACTGACAGGGGAGGTCAGTGATATTTCAAGGAATAAGGGGGTGACAGTGAGATTTCAGATAAATCAAGGGGGTGTCGGTGTAATTTACCCTTTATAGTAAATGTTGCTTGGTGACCAAGCCCCAAATCAAGCTGCCATTAAATAAAATAAAATATAAATTACCAAAATATAAATTTTGACTTAAGGTCAAATTTGGAAACTAAAATAAAAAAGGAACTTTCTCAAAAATCCTAGTTAAATTTAAAATTTAAATTCATATAAAAAATATTATTTTTGAAAAATCATGATTGCATTATCTTGTCCTCAGCCTTTTAGATTTTTTTTTTTTTTTTTTTTTTTTTTTTTTTTTGTTTTGTGACTTTTAGATCTTAACCTCTTTACAATTCCTATCCACTTGTATAGGACTGCTGTTGTCATCTCTCTCTCTCTCTCTCTCTCTCTCTCTCTCTCTTTCTTTGAGTAAAAAGCCTCCCACAAAGATATGCTCTTACTAATATGCTCTTGCAGTTCACTTGCACAAAGTATACCTTCAATTGGAACTTTGCTTTCTAGTTGAGAAGTGTATGTCCTTTTCATGTCTTATTACTCTTTTCCTTGACTTTTTTTATCATTTATAGTGAGTGACGAATTCTCTATTTCTTGCTCACTTTGATCACAGCTTGGGGAAGGATGATGAGTTGTAACAATGCCCCTAAATGACTACTGAGAAGGCCTACCTGATTTTATACCAGTGACGCGAATTTGGAATCTCTCATAAGTGTTTTTGTTAACTTTTTCCAGAGAGAGAAGGATAAATAACCCTGTTTTACTATACTATAAACAATTATTATTACTAGTGCGGTGTTTGGTGGAGATTATTTTAAGTTAAAAGTTGATAATCAAAAATAAAAGTTAAGAGCACCCCTCACTCTACTTTTGAAAAATCAGCTTATTTAAGCTATTTTTGCCTAATAAGCTATAAATAGAAACTACACCAAACAGCCTGGCAAAACTCCCATATTAAAATAAGATATAAGCTGCTTTCATAATCCCCACCAAACACCCCCAGTATAGCAATACTATTATTATTACTATCACTTAGAAAATATGAGGGAGAAGAACTCCGAAAAATATGAGGAAGAAGGAATATATTTCTGTTATATTCAAAACTTCTTATTTTACAAGACCAAATGACACTCCTTATATAGGAGATATTACAAACATCATTATAACCCATTATATGCCACTTACATATTATATTAAAATAAGATATAAGTTGCTTTCATAATCCCCACCAAACACCCCCAGTATAGCAATACTATTATTATTACTATCTTATAAATTTTTAGGCTGATTTTGTTAGGATTTTGTGCACTTACAAAATCATGTTCACTTGTATTTGGTAAAATTAATTTAATTAATTTATTTGACATTGACACTTTTTGGTTTGTAGCAACATTTACTTTTTGATTTTACACTTGTTCATTGATGCAAATCAGTGAATGAGTCCATAAATCTAAATATGTTTAATTAATCAATTATTATAGGCTTTTATACTTTTAGACAAGTTTCTAAACATTTTCAAGAAATTTAAAATTATTTGTCTCTTCCAAAATGCTTCTGAAATGTTTCCATTTCCATGCTAATTTAATCAAGACATTGAACAAAACTTTGATCCTTGGTGTGACTCGTGACTTTCTTTAGCTAAAAAAACAATGTGCAAAAGCCTCCTGCTAAAGTGAGATTTAAGGAGGGCAAGATGTATACAACTTTACCTCCATTCCTAGAGAAGTTGTTTCTTTAGCTATGGTAGAATTTTGTTTCTTAATTTATGATATATATAATATATTCATCACATCAATTACTCTATAACATTCTAGGAATATTGTTCCTCTAATACTGTATTTGATTGGGAGATTTGGAAAAGGAAATGAAAAAGGTATGTGAAATGTAAATAAAATATACCTACATTTCACCTAATATCACACACCTTTTCCCTTTCTTTTTTCAAATCACTCTCCAAATCCCCAACCAAACACAGCGTAAACCTATACCAATCTGATTATATTTTTTTGTCATATATTCCATATTTCATTTTGATTAAGTTCCTTATACTACTACATGCATTTTAGTCCAAATTGTTTTGAAACTTTTGATTCTGGCATACTGTATCATATTCTCAATATTAATACACTGAAAAATTAAGGAACTTAATCTCAATCTTCTTTTGTCAATTTGGCACAGGATGGGCGCATAAGTTATGATGAATTTGCTACAATGATGAAGGCCGGTACAGATTGGAGAAAAGCATCTAGGCAATATTCGCGAGAAAGATTCAACAGTCTCAGCTTGAAGTTGATGAGGGATGGCTCATTACAGTTAACCCAATGAGGTTAGGCGCACAATTACAAAATTGAAACATGTCGGTAAGACAATGGCATAGGATGGCCTGTTTTTAAACCCCTTTTTTATTCACTGGTTTTTTTCTTTTATAAAAAAGAAGAGTTATTTTGTTGATTCTTTTCCTTCCCCTTCTAATGAGACCTTGGGGACTAGTAGGATCAGGGCGAGTCTTTCGATTTCTTCCCGAATAGTCATGTTTGGGTTTGTTGCTTCGAGGTAGTTGTCTTAGTCTTGTAGGAAGGAAAAAAAAAGAATATTGTTACAAAGAATATTCCAGGTGGTTATTTTGTTGTAAATATGTTAATTTAAGTAAGCATATAGCTCTGATAGAGCAAAATGGCTAAAAATGATTCTTGTAACTGACCCTACATGATGAAATATAAGGCTTAGTTTGGTTTGGTTTGATTTTTAGGCTTACAAGTGCTCGTCGGATGTAGCTGCAACTCTCTTGTTTTCATTTGTTGTTGATGACAAGGCGGTTGTGTGGTGCAGTTTATCTAAGGCTTTTTTTCTTTTTCTTTTTTAAATTCTGGGAGTCTGTATCAGATTGTTTGGTATAGTTTTTGCTTATAATTTATTAGGTATAAATAGCTTAAATAAAATGGGGAAAAAAATATTATTTTGGGAGCATGGTGTAGCAAGAACATGACAAAATAATGAAGATCAAGTGACTTGTTGGAAAAGGAATAGTAATGAAACAGCAAGCACTAATTTGAAAACAAAATAATGTTTGATACATTTGAATCATGAATGTTCATTGAGGTTGGTTTTGAAAACAAAGTTTTAGTGTGATTTTGGAAACAAACTAATTTAAACAAATTGAACTAGAATTGGTCATCAAAATGACATTCATTCTGACAAGCATTGCTCTATTCTTGCTATGGTGTATATTTTAAAAAATGAAGAAGTAAAATAAATCTAATAATAAATAACATTTCTTTCGTGAAAGTCATATAAGAAAACATATAAACTAGTCAAACCAAAGTCACCTTAATTAATTTAGTCTAAAATTCAAAATTAAATTATTTGAGGTAAATTATCGATAGATCCTAACAGTTTAACTTAATTCTCATCAAATCCTATTGAAAACAAATTTTAATAAAATTATCGCAAAAAATAATTTTTTGTGATAATTCTTTGCATATGCCACTAAAAAATGACAATTAATAACCTTTTCTTTTCTTTTCTTTTTTTGTTACGGTTTTTACAAGTTGTTGCTAAATTTACAATTAATGACTTTTTCTGTGACTAATTTTTCAAACTGTAACTGAAAGTTAAAAATTAATGACTTTTTTTGTGACGGTTTTTTAAAACTGTCGCTAAAGCTTATTCAAACTGTCGTTGAAAATTAACATTTAGTGACCTTTTTTAATAGTATTTGATGAAAAATGTTATTAATTCTCATAGGACCTATTGAATAATAAGTCTCTCTCTTAGGATCTACATGTAAATCCCCTTATTAGTTTTAGTGAGAAATTAATTAGTACCCGCAATTATCCTTAGATCTGAGATAAAAGGATAATCCAAATGGTTAGGGCCTTTTTAGCTGACAACTTTGAATTTCAAGTTTCACTCCCATCTCCTTCCCTGGTAAATTAGAAATATAAATTGAATTGTATTTCCTAAATAAAAATAAAAATAAAAATAAAAATAAAAATAAAAAAGAATATATTTTCTTAAACTTGAGCATTCATCTAATTTTAAATTTCCTTTTCCACTACAAAATTCTACATTTGGGAATAAAATTGTCAATACGAAAATGATAAACAAATTCATTCTCTTCTTAGCGTGCACAAATGTTTGCTTTGAATTGGATGGTGTTTGAAAAGAGTTTATATTAGTTAAAATGTTAAAAATTTAAGAGAGATTGATCCATAAATCATAAATATTGAAATTGTGATTTATATAGCTCCAACATTTTTCTTATGTTTCATTTGATCCTATTGGATGTGAAATAACAAATTTAATATTTTGTTAAGTGTTACAATGGGAAGAAGTGGATGTCACCGCAAAACAAAAGACACTAATATTTTTAAAACCTTTATTTATTGTGAAACATGCCACATCAACACTCTCCCAATCTTTTGTTGATAAGTGGCTGTCAGAGTGGAAAAAAGAACACTATAGCCTTTGAGTATTACAATAGGAAAAGCGGGTGTCACAGTGGAAAAAAACACACTATAGCCCTTGTAGAACTATTCCTTGTGGTGGAACATGGCATATGCCACATCAGCTGAGTTTTGTTGGGTGTTACAGTGGAAAAAAGTGAGGGTTACAGTAGGAAAAAGTGTGTGTCACAAGAAGAAAAAGTACACTATAGCCCTTTTAGAATCTTTTTCTTATGGTGGAACATGACATATGCCACATCAGTTGAGTTTTAATAGAAGTTATAGTGGAAAAAAAAGTAGGTGTTACAGTAGGAAAAAGTGGGTGTCACAGTGGAAAAAGTAGACTATAGCCTTTTTAGAAAAGTTGATGTAACAGTGAGAAACCGTCCAACAAAAATTACCAATAAGATTTCATGGTTATATTGTTAATACCAACAGGACTTCTTAAAGCAATAGAAAAAAATATGAGATTGATTGGAGATATTGTTACTGATATGAGACTTTCAGGTAATTTTTTCAAAATTTAATACAAAAAATTATTTTTCTTTCTTCATTTTTTTTATACATCTCTTAATAAAAAGTTCAAAAATTCCTAAAACAATCAGTTCTTAAATAAATCTTTAATTATAGGAAAGATTCAATTTAATTAAGATGATTCAATTCAAAGCCACATCGAAAAAATTATTTGGTGTTCCAAGACATCACCTATTCATACTCCTTACCAATTACTATATACTTTTGTTGTTATCTAATTATCTAACACAAAATCGTGGATTCACTTTCTTCACCAATCATAAAACTTCTGAAACACTATGTGACTGTGTTGAGGACTACCAAATAACTTACCGCTATATTGACAAATGATAAGATGGTTCTAATGGGAGAGAATTACTTAAAAGTAGGACAAAAAAACAAGGTTACAAAAACATTAGGGGTGCAACTTAAAAAATGTGAGTGCAAGTAACCATGTATGAGTACTTTTTTGTTTTCTTTTTATTTTTTTTTTATAGCATCCCTCCATTTCAAATTAGATTGAAAGGTGTTGTTGAATCTCTGCGAATTCACCACAAAACCCGAATCAATAATTTAAATCGTTGAATATGTAGAGCTCGCCGAGTATTTTATCTCTGTAAAAAATTACATTAACCAGATATCAATAGCCACTTGATCAGATCACATTTGTGTTAACGGCAAGTATGATTTTAAAAATAAATTATTTATACAAATATGATCTGATCAAATGACTATTGATATCTGAGCAACATAGTTTTTTTACGGAGATGAAATACTCAACAAACTCTAAATATTGAACAATTCGAATTATTGATGCGGGTTCCGTGATGGGTTCAGAGGAGCCAAACAACACCTTCTACAATCTCTTTTTTTTTTTTTTACTGTCCAACTAATAATCAGATTATCGATGCAAGTTCGGTAATAAATTCACAAATCCAATAATACCTTCTAGAATCTCTCTTCTTTTTTATTTTTTTTAACTAAAAAGTGTCCAACTAATACGTAATTCTCATGTAGTAAAGTCTTTGGGGATTGATAACGTCACGACTAACGTCGGCTATGAGACTCAACTTGAAGAAGCAAAGTTTACATCGTCATTTTGTGTACCTTTTTGACCAAAATAAAAAATAAAAAAATTAAACACCGTATACCAAAGTTTATTATTATTATGTCATAGTCAAGTTATAATATTTGTAATATTAATTATCATAAATAATTATTTAATTATAATTAAATATCAATTATAATTAACATCAAAATAAATAATAATTAATAACACAATTAGTAGCAATCAAATCATAACTAGAATTTCTTTTATTATTATTAGTTTTTTACGTTGATAAGAGAGAAATTATTCAGTGCAACAGAAGCACGTCCACATAATACTCTAATTTGAATGTGATTGGTTATATTGCAAGAAAAATGCCTAAGACTCCCAGTGGGGGTCACTGGGGGTCGTGCGTGTAGACCCGTGATTGGCCTAAAAAAAAATTATTATTATTATTATTATTTTTTAAATGGCAGTGCGCCACGTCACTGAGGGTCTGAAGCAGCGCTGATATTGCAATTGAACCAAGCGCAAAAAATTTTTACAATTTATGATTAGTGAGTGGCATGGTCCTGTGTCCGTACTGTCAATTCTGTTAAAACCGCATCGATTTATATCAATTCGTATCGTTTTAATCGCTAATTACGGTTTAAATTTTTAAATTTATAATTCGTCAGTCGAACTGCTCCGTTCCACTATAATTAATACATATATATTTTTTAACTTTTAATGAAATATCAATATAAAAATGAGTGTCAAAGAGGTTTAAAATATGAAATTTATTACAACTTAGTAATTATATATATGAAACATATTATGTAAAATTATTTTGTATTAAATATTTAAAAAATATGATAGAAATTAGTGTTGCATATTATGTAAATGTATGATAATTAGTTAGAATATTTTTCAATTCGTCAATCTGTCCGTACTGCCAAGTCTGTTAAAACCGCATCGATTTATATCAATTCGTTCCGTTTTAATCGCTAATTACGGTTCAAATTTTTAAATTTATAATTCGTCAGTCGAACCGCTCCGTTCCACTATAATTAATACATATATGTTTTTTAACTTCCAATGAAATATCAATATAAAAATGAGTGTCAAAGAGGTTTAAAATATGAAATTTATTACAACTTAGTAATTATATATATGAAACATATTATGTAAAATTATTTTGTATTAAATATTTAAAAAATATGATAGAAATTAGTGTTGCATATTATGTAAATGTATGATAATTAGTTAGAATATTTTTCAATTCGTCAATCTACCAAAAACTGGCCAAATCACAATTTGTCAATTCTCTAATCCCCTAACTCACTATTCAGTTTGTAATTCTACTCTCAAACAGCCTGAACCGCACCGCACACACCCCTAATGGTGCGTATGCAACACCAAATAATTTAGGGTTAATTACACTAATAGTCCCTATAGTTTGGGACTTGTGTCACTTTAGTCCCTGACTTTTTAATTGTGACACATTTGACCTCGAATTTTAAATCTTATTCCAAATAAGGACAATTGAAAATATTATTAGGTTTTTCAAGGGTAAAATCGTCAATTTGATAAAATATAAACTAATTTGACAAAAATAAATATCAAAAAAATATTTTAAATATTTTTAAAATTATTTTTATCCACCAATGATAAAATTATGTAAAATTAATAAAAATTACATGATTAATTTTTTAAAATTAATTTGACATGATCATCATCCAAACACATAATAAAAATTAATT